TAATACTTCGTTAGCTACACCTATACTGTAGGGTATTGAAAATGTTTTCTTTGTTAACCGAAGAAAACATTCTCAATACCCTGCAGTATAGGTGTAGCCAACTTACCTCTGAGGCAGAACTCTTAACACGAACAGTTTTGAGGGCGGGCTAGCCTCTAAGTGGCCTGTAGGGTATTGAGAATGTTTTCTTCGGTTAACAAAGAAAACATCTTCAATACCCTACAGTATATGCCTCAGAGGTAAGTTAGCTACACCTATACTGCAGGGTATTGAGAAACCCTGCAGGCCACTTAGAGGCTAGCCCGCCCTCAAAACTGTTCGTGTTAAGAGTTCTGCCTCAGAGGTAAGTTGGCTACACCTATACTGCAGGGTATTGAGAATGTTTTCTTCGGTTAACAAAGAAAACATTTTCAATACCCTACAGTATAGGTGTAGCTAACGAAGTATTACCTCTGAGGCAGAACTCTTAACACGAACAGTTTGGAGATACCTCTGAGGCATATACTGGCTAGCCGCCCTCAAAACTGTTTGTGTTAAGAGTTTTGCCTCAGAGGTAATACTTAGTTAGCTACACCTATACTGTAGGGTATTGAAAATGTTTTCTTTTGTTAACCGAAGAAAACATTCTCAATACCCTACAGTATAGGTGTAGCTAACTAAGTATTACCTCTGAGGCAGAACTCTTAACACGAACAGTTTTGAGGGCGGGCTAGCCTCTAAGCGGCCTGTAGGGTATTGAGAATGTCCGTCAGTCCAAAATATGCTAGCAGCCCAGGCAGATGGTGACAATGACGCCATATGATGACTCCCCTCTGTGGTCAGAAGGCAATTTCAAAGAAGAATCAACCTTCTGACGGGAAGGGAAGTTTGTATCATATGGCGTCATGGCTACTTGTCCTAGTGTTCTGCCACCATCTGCCTATGCCAATAGTATATTTTGACTGGCAGACAATAATCAATGATAGCGTCCTTCAGCATGTCAATGGTGAGCCGCATCAAGGCAGAATTGAGATCTACATAACACATTATCTATCTAAGACATGTAGTAGATAATAGTTGCTTTGGTCTGTGCAGCGTTTGATTATTATACACTACTGTGCTTTTGCGCTTGCTTTCTTAATAAGGCTCTTTGCTAATATACACACGGTCACGTGACCTTTTCAGCCGGCAGCAAATAAAGTGCATCCATCAACATACATTTTCAAATACAAAGTACGAGTGACAATAAATTTTACTACAAGTAAGCAAACAAATAAAGTAACAAATACAAAAGGGGAGGCGAGACTTCAATGAGGGGGCCCTCCTCACCAAAGCCTCAACACTCCAGGTGAAAATGTATGTAGCAAATATATATATAATACAATACAAATTTGTCCTGTAGAAACGTTAGACCGAAATTTAAGACAAGATTAACACTTAACTAGAGAGCACTTGCCACACAAAAGTACCGGCAGGTTCAGCAGTCTAGAGAACAAAACAGATCAGTTAAGGTCATCAGGAATTGAGCGCTTACCACCATTAAAAAGTTGGAGCAGGCTATTAAAAAGTCGGAGCAGGAGCCACTGACAAGTGGCATGCACTGCGATACCGCCAATTCCAAGAAGCAGGAGCCACTGACAAGTGGCATGCACTGCGCTGAGCCCCAGTCCCAATAAGCAGGAGCCACTAACAAGTGGCATGCACTGCGATACCGCCAATTCCAAGAAGCAGGAGCCACTGACAAGTGGCATGCACTGCGCTGAGCCCCAGTCCCAATAAGCAGGAGCCACTAACAAGTGGCATGCACTGCGCTACCGCCAATTTCAAGAAGCAGGAGCCACTGACAAGTGGCATGCACTGCGCAACCCCCAGTTCCTATAAGCAGGAGCCACTGACAAGTGGCATGCACTGCGCAACCCCCAGTTCCAATAAGCAGAATACTAAATAGAACAGACATTAGCAAACGGACGCGAGAGAAGAAGGACTTACGTTTAAGGAACTGGAAGGCGCTCAAAGGGAGGAGTGGCTCTAACTGCGCCATCCAAAGTCCTGAAATTCGTAAGTATAATACTAAATAGAACAAACGTTAGCAAACGGACATGAGAGAGGAAGGACTTACGTTGGGAACTGGAGGGCGCTCAAAGGGAGGAGTGGCTCTAACTGCCATCCAAAGTCCCGAAATTCGTAAGTATAATCCTAAATAGAACAAACGTTAGCAAGCGGACGCGGGAAAAGAAGGACTTACGTTGGGAACTGGAGGGCGCTCAAAGGGAGGAGTGGCTCTAACTGTCATCCAAAGTCCCGAAATTCGTAAGTATAATCCTAAATAGAACAAACGTTAGCAAGCGGACGCGGGAAAAGAAGGACTTACGTTGGGAACTGGAGGGCGCTCAAAAAGAGGAGTGGCTCTAACTGCCATCCAAAGTCCCGAAATTCGTAAGTATAATCCTAAATAGAACAAATGTTAGCAAGCAGACGCGGGAAAAGAAGGACTTACGTTAGGGAACTGCCAGGAGGGCGCTCAAAGGGAGGAGTGGCTGTCACTGCGCCATCCAAAGTCTCCAAAATCCTAAGTACAACAGACATTAGCAAGCGGGTGTGAGCAATTAAGTACTTACCTTGAGAAACCTCAAGGGAAAGAGAGTATATGTAAATGAAAACAGTTAGTAAGTAGGCGCACCACCAAAGTTGAACTTACTATGTTTGAAGGGCGACTGTAGGGTAGTACCTTTGAATTCTTGCAGCTGCAGTCTGCAAGAACCCAAAGGAGTACACCGGAAGTCGCCCTGAAGTAACGGCACTGGCAGAAATAAAGGATGAAGGAGAATGATGAAGGTAAGACGAAAGAAGAGATTGAACCGTGAGAACTGATTGTTGTTGTTCATATTCACGTGTCAGTTTGTTATTGTTTGTAAATAGTCACGTGATTATCAACAATGAACTCAACAGCGTCATAATATTGGCTAATCCACAATTCAACGCGTCGCGTGTCAAAAATCCACAAATTCAACACGTGCCGGCGCGCCGGCACGTGTTGAGTGGATTTTTGACACGCGACGCGTTGAATTGTGGATTAGCCAATATTATGACGCTGTTGAGTTTATTGTTGATAATCACGTGACTATTTGGATCTGTTTGTCACAATCAACCAACGTTCAAACTTGTTCATTTCTTTCTAAGTACATTCAGCCGGCGCTCTCCTCTCTTTGCATCTGTTTGAACTACATAACTGTAAGTGCTATTTGCCGTGTCATCTACTAATTTGAATATATCTATAATAGTCTCTCTTCACCATGGTGAAGTCTAAACAAACCTGCAAGAAGTCCACCGGTGGCACCGCGCCACGAATTGCCTTGTCGTTGCCGGCATCTACTGGAGCGGTCACTGCGCCGGGTGAGCTGAATGTGAGAGAGCCGTCTGAACACAACGAGGTAAGTGATTAGTTACCTACTATTTGCACTAACACGCGTCTTTATTTGCAGTTTTGTCTCATCTGCAGAGACGGTTCTGTAGGGGAAGATTGCCTCTTCCTCTGCAGCACCTGTCCGCGGGTGATGTGTTCAAACTGCATGAACATCCCGCCTGCCAGTGCACACGCGGTGCAGGCCGATGACGTCACGTTCGTCTGCATATCTTGCCATGTTGGCATGGAACGACACGGGCGCGCATCTCAGTCGCCCTATTTTGTAAGTTTTTTCGTTTATTTCATGCTAACTAACATTCACTTCATTTTATAGGGTTTTTACAGGAAGGGGCAACCGCTCCTTCCTTCATTCCTCCAAATTCGTGCTACGTTGGAGGTTTCACTCCATTCCCAACTGTCTTCGGCACCCACGCTCATGCTCCATCTCGTCCTCGTCGACCATGACGTCACCGGCGGCTGTTTCGAACTGGCCTCCGAATTCCTTCAGCCATACTTCCCCAGCGGAGGGTTTGAATTTCGGTCCATCGTGTTCGACATCGGCAATGCCTCAAAGATCGACGAGTACCGGTTGCAGGCGACTGCCATCATCCAGTCGCTGATGAGCTCCAACTGGGCTCGTGTCGTCGTCGCCATCACTAACCACACCGACAACGAGCATGGAGATCCATTTATTGGGTACGAGGGCAACAAGAAGTCATACGTTTCGGCACGCGTTCACTCTGTAAGTGGCATTTTTTTGACTAACATTGTATTTGCTCATTTGACACCAAAGGTTCTCGATGTTCTGCTTTCACCTTGGCATCCCCTGATTCATGGTGCCGCGGAATCATACTTATGGCTGTTTTCGTGTGGCGCGCTCATCAACAACGTCACTTCCTTTTCAGGCTTGCAACAGGCGGTCATAGAGTAAGTCCATTTGATCTTATCTTTGCAAATACTAACTAACCCTAACAGTCATCGCATCACAGCCACTATTGGCTTTAATGCTGTTCGTTTTCAGCCGAGTTTCGCCACCCACCTTTTGCTCGCATTCGCGGAGCTGGTCATCATCGAGCGTTTGCCCATTCACATCGTCTTCCCTGACATGTTGGGCCAGTCCTACAAACTTGGGCGCCACACTGACGTGTTCTTGCTGATGCCTGACAACTCAGGTTCGTTGGCCGTTACCAAGTTCGCCTGGACGCATTCCCAACTTCGCCCCTGGGGTCAGTACCTGCCGGTCCAGTGCCCACAGTGTGGGTGGAGTAACGCCTGGTGTTCTGTCAACATGCACAAAGATTACATCTTTGAATGCAAGAATGGCCAATGTAGGAAAAAGTATGTATTCTCACAACCACCTCATTCCAGGATCCTTTTGCCAGGCAAAAGACCTGGCTCCTGCTGGATTTCAGTTGTCTTGAGGCCCATGCCTAGTGTCCCTGATGAGGATGAGGATTAGGATACAATTATTTTGTCTTAGCTTTTTCGTACATCCCTTCATGTTTCATTTTTCTTCATCTTACTTGATTAGATACCCTCACCGCTCAATGGAAGTATAACGTGTTTTGGATCTTTTTACCTGATGTGAATTTGTCTATTATCTACACTGTCTAACTCCACTCAATGGAAGTATAATGTGCCTTTAATCTTGTTACTTGATGTGAATTTGACCGTCTCAATATATCCAATTTGATAATTGATTCAAGATAAAAATTGCAGGTAGGCTGGTACAGGCGGTAGGAGGGTGGCTAGCCGAAATTAATTTGAACACCCATGTTTATCAACAATAACGTGTGACTTATGAAAAGTCACACGTTATTGTTGATAAACATGGGTGTTCAAATTAATTTCGGCTAGCCACCCTCCTACCGCCTGTACCAGCCTACCTGCAATTTTTATCTTGAATCAATTACGATGTCTACCGACTGGTCTATTGCCTTTAAGCCAATTCTCGACCTTCACTCTAAGGCCATTTTTGCTGCAGGTTCCTCATCTGTTGGAAAGCCTGTGGTGAGGAAGATTCGGAGGGCCATACTAGCTGCTCAAGACGAGCAAGAGGAACCCATTGCCTTGCCTACTTCCTTGAAAAAGGTCACAAAATTCTTATACTGTACATGTATTTAGTTGTCTGATGATATACATAAATGTTACCTACAGGCAATAAAAGAATACTATGCCAAAAGTCTCAAAGACAAGGAAGAGGCAGACGAACGTGAGGCAGCGAGTCGCCCAAGAGAACCATCTTTCTATAAGAAACCCCTGTCTGAGTGGGACGTAGCACAGAAATTATTTAAGCAGGAGATCGACTCATATGACAAGGCCCAACAACAGAGTAAAGGCTTGGAGTATTCAATCAAGTACCGCACTGGGAATGCCAGGGAGTGGTTCAACAACATGACACCTTCACAACAGCAGGAGGTCAAGTTTGCCATGAAGAAATGGAATGAGGAGGGGGCGCCAGAAGAAACTCAGGCAATGTAAGTTTTACTTCAAATCTACAGTTATTCCAGTCTAACACTTTGGCTTGAGATATCGTAAGAATAACCTCAAGAAAACTCTGGAAGATTTTGCAGAGCAAATTCGGCGCACCATGGGTTGTCGCATAGTAATGCTTGTTAGTCATAAGAAAAAAGCTAGTCAGACATTGTCCGTCAGTCTGTAAGTCATCAAATCAACATGGAAATCTCAAGACTAACTAAACTACTATAGACACGAAACTACGCCTCAGAATGCCAAGAAAAAATTTTCTGTGAGCTCGAGTGGTATCAAGGAGTGGGCTGCAAATGGATTTGAATCCTTTGGAGAATGGTCTAAGACTGAATTTTGTACGTGTTTCATTTGATTTTAAATATCATGCTCACTGACTATTAAATTGATAGACCCTTCAGAGGATTCAGACCATGCGGCTTCAGACTGTGAGGATGGACCTGTCTTACCTGAAATCATAGTAGATGATGAGGGGTATGCAAAACTTCCTCTTCGTGATGGTATTGGCCTCAAGGGCCAACACGAATTGATTAGAAGTATCTTTCATACTTCATACAGTAAGATCTAACATCTTCAATATGTGCATGACATTTGATTGACTCAATGGTTTGTAGAAGTCTGCACAGGTGGCTCTAGACCTGTACCTTGGGGCGTGATAACTGCCAGCCCGTCCAATTATTTGGAACCTGGTTCAGTTCCCACAGGATTTGTGGTCAAAGACCCTTCTCATATGAAGACAGAGGAGGTAAATCGTCTATGGATGCATTGGGAACGACGTTCTGCTACAAATCAGAAGCTAGTTGTCTTTATTAAGGCCAAGGATGCTGATATTCGGGTCACTGGGAAGTCCAAGACGAAAGTAGTGAGCACCCTAGACTTAGATGAAGAAGATCAAGGCCGGCCGGCTCCATTTGCCTCTCATTTCACAGAACGTACAACACAGCCGGCCGCTCATGAGACAACACCAGATGATGTTGCCATCAATGACCGATACACATTTTTAGAAACCCTTAGCAAGAATGAAAACTACTTGGAGCTTGTGGACGCCACTAGGGACCTGGCAATATTAGCCAAACAGAATGTTAGTGTCACTTGGTGCTGTTTTCAATTTTATGGCTTATATGTCCAACAGCCAATTTCAGAGCGACACCAAGATTTGCCTACCTGGGCTGACTGGTCTTGGAGCGAAAATTATCTTTCCGAGGACATTCACACCTCATATGCGACATTGATGGCCAGCTTAAACAAGCTACAGACCTGTCCAATCTCAGGGCCATCATCGGCAATGCCAGTAATACTAGGAATTGGGCTCCTCTATAGGGAGTCTAAGCGTGTGATAGAGTATGAGGAAGACGAGGCTGATCCCAATACCCCTTTCTACCTACCTCATTCTGCTATTGATCTACAGTTCTTGGTCGCTCTGGATGAGGCTGTCCGGGAAGTCTTATTCTCAGTTGTTGGTCAGATTGAGAGGCTGAACAAAGAGGGACTCAGTGACGAGGTTGAGGATGAGGAGATGAGGATGGTGGTAGAGAAGGAAAGGCATGAGGTTGAGGAGAAGGATGTTGAGTCAGAGGAGAATGTAGTTGGGGGAGAAGAACAGCAGGAGCAGGAGGTTGAAGAGGTGGTGCAGAAAGGAAGGAAGAGAAAAATTAACCATGCTTCATCAAGTAAGTCCAAGAAGCCTAGGACTGAGCCTGTGGTTCGTAGATCAGGTAGGGTGAGGCAACCCTCTAAGAGATCCCAGAAGATATGATCTTGTATCCTCCATTGTCTTCATTGCTAGTCAATCTTGTACAGTAATTACATATGCTTGTCTAGACTCTCGCACTGCCTGGTGATAAGTTATGACTTGAGTATAAACTGGCTTTCCTCGCTCTATGTACATATATATTGGCCAGCCTGACTCCTACATAGGTAAATGCAGGACGGCCGGTATGCTAGTTTAATACCTGCAAACAGGCCAGCCTGGCTCCTACATAAGTAAATGCAGGACGGCCGGTATGCTAGTTTAATACCTGCAAACAGGCCAGCCTGGCTCCTACATAGGTAAATGCAGGACGGCCGGTATGCTAGTTTAATACCTGCAAACAGGCCAGCCTGGCTCCTACATAGGTAAATGCAGGACGGCCGGTATGCTAGTTTAATACCTGCAAACAGGCCAGCCTGGCTCCTACATAGGTAAATGCAGGACGGCCGGTATGCTAGTTTAATACCTGCAAACAGGCCAGCCTGGCTCCTACATAAGTAAATGCAGGACGGCCGGTATGCTAGTTCAAAACATACAAACTGGCTAGCCTTACCCATACATAGGTAGATGCAGGGCGGCCGGTTTGCTAGATTAAGACCTACATACTGGCCAGCCTGGTTTCTACTGAGGTAGAGATATGGTTGGCCAGTATAATCTTAATCCCACATATTGGGCCACCCCACGTCTGCCTATGTAGAAGAAAGGCTGGCCAGTTACAAATATAGATGTGAAACAGTCAGCATCCTAATACACCAGCAAGCCTTGATATTGGTATACCTACAGCCGGCAGTTGTCTTACATCTACTGGCTGGTCATGCTTTTACAATAGTATGGTAGTGTATTATACATGTGGACTACTACTATACAAGGCCGGCCAGCATGTATTCTACATAGACCGGCCGGGGACTGGCTGGCCATGATTCTACAGGGTTTTGGCACATCCGGGGCACTGGTTCTACATGGGAAATTGACTGAAGTATGTGCCCTCAAGTTGTCGAGCACACCCAAGGATGCCCATCCCCGATTCGTTTACAAAACAGCCTTATGGCTACAACCTTTTTATCGCATATACAAATACAAATATGAGCGCTGAGCTTCGCTACACTAGAAATCGATTACCTCTCATCCAAAATATTACTCCTCAAATCACAAACTAGAAATCCATCCCATCGTTGACTCGTTTACACTGTTCGACCGCTACAATTATCGTCCGGTCCAAAGAAATGTACATACCTATCGATGAAATTGCAATTTCAGGCCTTTCGTGTAGCACGTATAGCACTAACGTAGAACGACGCCTTGACGGCGACCATGCGAAGATGCAAATAGATGCAAACGCGACCTTCACTGAGTACTGCACTTATGATGCTGCTGCGCTGCGCCGACATGCCGTACGTCTTACTTGAATCAAGACCACGACTGAAGAGGAGACGGGTCCGGGATTCATCGCTTGGGAGTCAGAGTCAGCGGAGAAGGTCGGTCAATCGGTTACGAGCAGTATTGTGAACAGATTATGAATATGTCAAAAATGAAGATGCGAACGACACCAGCGCAGAGAAAGAAATACATCACTGACTACGAGTCGGCAGCCAAGATCGGTCACAAGCGATAAGATCGTGTCGAGAACAGAGAAATATCAACAAGAGCCCAAAGGAAGAAATATAGGAGGAACTTTATCATCACCGACTACTTCTCCTTTACAACAGTCGCTGCATCAGCATCACGGCGTGCTCGCCTGGTCTGAGCTTCTCCGATTAAGTCGTTCAACAACTCAATCTCGTCGATGACCTTCTTCGGCCGCTTTTCTTTCATGACACCGAGCATAGGTTCGTTCGAAACGATGTAGACCCTTTGGTCGGGCATGTTGGCATTCTCCAGGTTCTCTTTCACGCTCTGGCGCGTCTGCTGAATGAACTGCTGCCGTGCAGCCTGGTAAAGCTTCTTCTTCTGGTCCTCGCTCTCATCGTCATCGCTGTCGTACCCCATGTCCTTCATGATGTTACGGATGTGCTGGTCTGCCTTAGAGCGCACGATATACGTGGGGATCTTGAAACGCTTGCAGTTGGTGAGGATGGCGATGTCGGTCATGGTGAACCGATTGTCGAACAGCACGATGATGCAGTCAAAGACGTAAAGTCCTTGGGCGTTGAAGTACTGCCAGTCAGGGATTTTGAGCGTGCCTGCGCCCGGGATATCGTACCAGACATATGGGTATTCCGCGTTGGGGCTGGCGTATCTGGCCATGGCTAGCGTTGTCTCGGTGACCCCAGTGGCAGCAGATCCGGCGTCCTTATTACGCAAACCGCGGAAGGCATTGATAAGAGATGATTTCCCTCCTCCTGCCACCCCGGCTACTGCGAAGTGGAAAAGGTCCTCGCGATATTGAACTTTCCGCTTGGCGGCGCTAACTTCTGCAGGCGTGGGAGTCACCACAGGTTGAATGCCTTCTTTCAACTTGCGTTCAGCCTCCTTCTTGGCAGAATTGGCCGCCTTCACTTGCTCTTCTGCCACTTTCTTCGACTCGTTGGCCGCCTCCTGTGCGGCAGTCGCCTTCTTCTTCTCCTCATTAGCAGCCTCCTGTAGTTTCTTGGCCTGCTCCTGGGCAGCCTGGGCGTCTCGTTTGGCTTCTTCTTGGACAGCGGCAGTTCGCTTACGCTCTTCCTCTGCTTCCGCTGCTCTCTGCTTTGCTTCTGCGCTGGCGGTACGAGCAGCAGCTTCCGCAAGTAAGCGAGCTTCGTTGGAGGCACGTTCGGCCTGGACCATGGCCATCATCTCCTTATGGGTCTGAGCCTGTGAGTCTGCCGCGGCTTGCAAGGAGGCCTGCTGAGCCTCCATAAACTTTTGCTGCGAATCTTGATTCGACTTGATGAGCTCGGCGATCTGTGCTCTGGCAGCAGCAGCATCCTCCCGGGCTTGAGCAGCAGCTTCCTCTGCTCTCTGGCGCGCTTCTATATCGACGAGAGACGGACTGGGCGCTTCTGGCCGCCCCCGACTGAATAGACCTCCCATCTCTGAGTTTGCTCAAGAATGATAATACGTGGACCTGTCAATAGTCACGTCGCATGATGCTCCCATCTCTCAGACTGAGAAACTTACTGGTATGGGTATGCTTTGGAAAGAAAAATCAGCTAACAGCGCTGTTCAAAGTCAGTCCTGTGGATAAGAACGAAGAACCGATCTCATGAACTATAACATATAATGTCCACCTTGAGGCGTTTTATATTGTCTATTCGTACCACGTGAAGACCAAGAGAACGACTAAATGTGGCCAAGCGCTGATCATAAGTCACCCAGGGCTGTGGGCTATTCCACATTCATAGGATTGCGCCGTGAAGTGTGACCTGGAGGTGACGAAGTTATGGATGAAGGGAGGACGTTCTGTGCATGTCCTTCCATTTTGTGTTCAAATGGATCTTCGTAGACCGCATGTTTGATCTTCATAGAACTAGCGTCAGAACTGCAGTCGTGGTTATGGTTAAAGTTGGGAATGGCTTACCAAATCGTTGTGCAATGTACTCAATTGAGTTCATCGATAACCGTGACCTAGAGCCTGGCGCTGTCAGGCAAGTCGAATTGAGCAAGAATTCGAAGGACTTGCTGTTCTTGATATCATCATCGCCACCGCCTGGAAAACCATACTGCATCCACAAGCTGTGCGTGCATGCACCAATGATGGAAGATCCTGTGACACCGCCATTGGTCGAGCTCTGAGCCAAAGGATGCAGTCCTAGTTGGAACTGATCGAATATGATAATTGCGGTTCAAGAATACAGCTGGACCGCTTTAAACAAGATACTGTATGTAGGTGTAGCATAATACAAAAATAACAAATTACAACGCATTCCAGTCTTGCAACAAATACATCAATAATACATAGCCTGAATCTCGACGTTCTTGTCCGTTTCCAAATCAGACACTTGAAATAATCATTCCTCCACACCGCCCATGTACATGAACTCCTTGAACCTTAATCGAAGTTCCTTGTTCTTCGCAAGCCTCGTGGCAAGATCCAACCACGATGGGATGGTCAAGTCATTCAACTCGTAAGGCGTGTACTCTGACTCCACAGCACCAGGCTCGCGAAGTTCTTCTGGGAGAAGTTGAAGAGGAATAATATATTGGTGACTCGTGATATTCTGTGTTTGCTCATCGGGGTGCAAGCTTGAAATAGGGAAGGTCATGTACTCGAGTTCGAACTCTGGATCATGGGTCTGATCGAACTCTTCCAGTCTTGGCATGTAAAACTGTCAATAACATGCGTTATTTTAGGGAGCTACTCGTGGGGTATATGCGCACCTGTGCGAACCCTAGAGGCGACCACAGCGAGTTGCGCCTTGATGGCGATTCGCTATCGGAGTGCCAGAGTTTATGAGGCTGGCACCTCCACGCGTTACGGAACTTCTTGTGTTCACACTTCGGCTTCTTGAATGTGCGAACTTGCTCATGGTTCAAGGCACGTCGCCGCTGAGTGGCCTTTATCGTTTGAAGATATGGATCAGAGCTGATATCCTTCGTGAGTGTCGATAGTCCAGTGATATTATACGTAAAAATTCGGAAGGATGGAATGTAGGGATTTGGTACAATGGCAGCGTTGACGTTCACCACTGCATAGTCGTCGTAGCGAGTATCCTCGAGGGGTGCCGGTATCTCCGAAAAATCAGCGATGAGCGTCTCAAAGAGTGTACCGTGTGACGAGGTCTTCGAAGACATGTTGATCTCATCAGCGTCCAAGAAAGAGAACTACGCTGAGTTAGTAAACTGAGTGTAGCTTTGAAGCAACCGCGCGTACGTGATCAACGTTTAGGTGCTGAAACATCAAAATTAACTTCGACTACCTGGAACGAACATTGAATCTTACCCCATACAAATTACCCAAAATCGTGTCTTGGAATCGCAGGTTCAACTCTACGAATCGGGGGTACTGACGAGGTTGAGATGATTAATGCCATATCTACGTAGAGTACTCACGCATTCAGAAAAGTAGTTCGCTTTAGATGGAGGTACATGTCCTGCATTGACGAATATGAAAAGTTGTCAGGGTTCAAAGAAGCGATCCACGGCGTACCTGTAATCCACACCTACCCGACGACATGAAAAAGTATTTTTGGAAGATATCTGAGAGTTCTTACCTGCATCTGTCGAGAACGGAATGCCTCCAGTTGTTCTTCAAGCCAATCAAGCTGGATAGTTCCAGGGTCCTTTGGGTCGGTATAATCACATCCTCCAACAGCTAATTGTTGTACATCAACGAGTAGGCCAACCAGAGAATTATGCGTCACTTGCCGTGATTTTTCTTATAAAAGTACAAGGTATTAAGGCTGATAGCAGCCACCGCATCAGGTATGATCTCCGTTGAGAAGTATGCTCCTTGATGAAATGATGCTGATGACGTCGGGGGTATAAATGCACTCCATATCCTGATTGTTCTATAAGACCTCGGAAGTGGCTAGATCTGCGATAGACGTACGAAGAGAACTCCTCTATAATTTCATTAGGTCCTGTTTGCTACGGATTAGCGCTGGACAGAAGGATAGCAACAATCATACCAGCAGATAATCTATTCTGATAGCAAGGTAAATGGGATCAGTAGAAGAGCCCGTGATACGCTGTTCTCACATGAGCTATATCAGTCGACAGTCAATATACTCGTCGCGTGCTTAAGAATGTTAGAAGCACTTACGCCATATGTCATTGTTTCCTAATAGAGGATGCACTGTTCAGGAAGTCTCTGCGAAGAGGTGCAAAAGACCTACCCAAACTTGGCACAACTGGGATGCCTTTCTTCAAAAATACATGTTCCATCCTTTTAGCTACAGCGCGATTCAAGTCATAAATTTCGTCAAGGGTTCGTGGTATATCGTCATCGTTGTCGTGTCTAGATGCTCTTGATTAGATTGCATCTCAAGAGGTCCAACACCAATTTCAAACCTTGCATTGTCGCCAGTCCCTATATGCGGCAAATGAGTGAGATCAAATAACACAGATGGACTAGGTTAGACGCTCACAAATTACAAAATCGATTTCAGAGCTCCAATGTTCATCCAAAAAGTCAAGCGTGAAATTCGTGAGGCTGAATGGTGAGTCACAGAAGCTAGACAGAATGAACGTCAGGTAACGGATCAAAAACGAGGATTATCAACATACCTATAAGGTGTTCCGTAGTAACCTGCCGGACGCTCGTCCTTGAAATTGGGTCGATGGCATGCAGAGGATTGGGATGCACCGAGTTCATAAAACGGATCAGGGTGGATATCTGTGATGTGCAGAAAACGACCGTGAAGCTGCCTACTAGGGAAAGGTTCTTTCAATCGTTTGAGCGACTAGCGGTGTGATTGAAATAACCACAAAACACATACGAAGTTCAACCTGTGATGTGCCCAGTACAACCTGAGTAGGGGACGCGAGGCTTGCAACGCAGCATGATCCCAAGGTAAAAATCAGACTTCGCGTCCTCATGAGTTCTCGGAGAGGTGGTTAGATGCTGGGGTATCGTGTTGTAAGCTCGCATTATTAATAGGGAGCAGTGTGCACAGCTGCAGTCGGCTTGGTGGCAACTGTCACATCCTAGAATGGGTCAATGGGATTCAATGGTAAGCACGTTTGTCACTCTGGCCTATTACAATACAGTGTGAGTTCTTCGGACTGTCCTTCGTGAACGGAAGTGCACGTTTTTGGGTGAACTCCATGGACTACGGCATAAAAAAGTTACATTTCTACGAGCTGCATCCGGGACCCGTGCGTGTACCAGTAGGGGTGCAGTGGGATGAAACGTTGATAGTAGCATCATCGTGTGTAATCGAACAGAAGATTTATAAATTTGTACATGTTGACATCATCCATATCGATACTGATCCACTCTTGATCCACTCGAGTCGTCGTCGATAACAATCGTAGCATCTAATAACAGTAAGTTCGATTTCAACCCTGCATGCATGTGCATCCCGAAAGCGACTAGGAGAAATCTCGTGTCTCGCACGTTCACCACCACCGTCCGGCTCCGACCCGACGCCGGCCCACCGTGTACACGTCAGCCTCCCGGAGATTCAGAGCACGGTGCCTTAACAGTTGTTGCGGTATATAAATATAGAATTTTTTTTCTTTCTCTCTCTCTCCCCCGTAGATTTCGGATCACAGGTCTCTGCCAAGGCCACTTATATGATTGCATTTTCTAAACCACGGCGTCCGACTCTCAGGCCTCAGGACCAAGACTTCGCTCCTTCGACATGACCAAACATGGATGGAACACCTTGCATTATGGAGTCAACGATGGCAACTTCTTGATGTCGCTATTCAAATTGTGTTTGACTGGTGCGCCGAGACATGGTCATTGTTTGATTATTTTTGTTCATCGTGTTTTTCTTTCGGCGTCCTGCATTAATTGAATTTTACGAACTATCGAAACTGCAATCATGGCGAGGCCCCGAGGGTTCGTTCATGCAAAGTCAGCAGACTAGTCGCCGTCACATAAGAACCAGCCCCTAATGCTCAACGGCGCGCGCTACGAGCTCGTGATGTCGGACCAGTACATGGTTCGAGTTGCACTATGCAAGGCACACGGGCCTCGAGGACCTGATGATGTCAACATTTTCCTGAGGAGGTTTTCATTTGTCCTTTTGTTACTTACCGAACAACTGCAGCAAAATAATATTCATGGAATGAAATTGGTGCAACCTGTACATCGTGAGTTAGACCAAACACGCCTCGGAGTATTTAATACTGACTGTGCGAGGCGGTAAAGATAGATTAACAGCGTTTATAAGACCTGTATATGCAGTATGTGTTTACAATGGCCTGGCTGATCAATGTATATACGGGAGCCGCAAGGGGGGCGAAGCTATACCTCATTGTTGTCATTGTGCGTCAACTGTTGGAATCTATCAGACCTATGACTCGGTGCTCGAGGGCAGTGCAGGACGACTGGTCCTAGTCTTTCGAAATTCAAGTGCTAAGCTGAGGTTGTGCTGTGGGCAGAACTGGCACAGCAGCCAGCTGAGGTTTTACCATGGCAGGCAGATCTCAGAATGAGTAAGTAAGTTGCTGTGACAGTGCGATGGTCATCTGGTATCTGGACGATGCTACATGATAATCCTACTAAATCCTCTGAAGCTCATCATTCGATCCTCATATCTAATCCTCACTCAAAGTCTTTGGGGTCTGTTTGCATCTTTGGTTACTAACGAAATGGAATTTGAGATACGCTGTTTATGATTGAATCGACTCGCACCACTGGTGGTGGGCTCCCGAACAGAGAGTCTCTAGGGCGCCGCGGGCCTGCTTGGAGGAAATGAGAACTGAACTCCTCGTAAGTATATGTCAAAACAAACCCGAGGACCCGAAAAGGGTACACAGGAATAACAATTTTTTTTATCTCGCGAGGGACTCGCCGGTCCGAATTGTTCATGTTTGTTCTTGATTTGTCAGCTCTTTCGACCTCTCTGAATGTCTGAATCACATAATCAATGAACATGATGTATGTACATCACCATCGCATTCAAAGTTTAATTTGTCATGGCTGCAGCCTCGTTGTCTTCGCCCCGCCCTCGTGTTGTGTCGGATCAGGGAGCTCCCTAATGACGGGATGTCCGTCGTGTTTTATGCAAGTTCTTTGAGGTATTTCGAGTTCGATGATCAGTTCGTGACCAGCGTCCGGTTAGACGTTTGTTGCCCGTCACTGCTCCTACTTTACAGCATGTGGAGGAATTTCCTTCCGACAATTATGTTTACTACTTCTGCCCCAGATTGCCAACTGCCATGTTTTGCCACGGATGGCAACAACACTGGCCACACTAACAAGCGCACATTTGAATATTTAAAACTCGATCCACTTTGCTGTATGCTCGAATCTGAGATAGCGGCAAAGCTCCGATCATCCTTGTACTAGGAAGCGCGCAGCCTTTACCCCTAGTAGCTTAGTACAGCCAGGTGCGATGTATAGTGGTAAGATCGGGTAGAAAATGAAAAGCCTTGATGTTCAACGTTGCAACGTTCATGTATTGCTGGAATGTGTTGTCGTGTCTTGCCATCACGTCATGAATCACCCTAGATAGAGAATACGCCTCAGTGGCGCCTTGCCACTTCAAGGTACAGCCTTTACTACCTGTAGGCCGCAGGGTATATATGTTCATCTTCGACCTTGATCTTACAGTATTCCGACGTATTTGACAGGTGTCGTGCAGCCTAGACAGGGCTACCGTTTAAGAGCACTTTCAGAACTCCCAGGTTCAAGCGCCCGTCGCTCACAAGGCTATTCTCAAGATTCAACCTGTATCCTGTGCGTGTTCATATAACTACTCGTTTGCGACTGCTCAGCAAACCAGAACATCCTCACACTGACATGTACATATTCAGAAATCTCATCCAGCCAACAATGTCTAGTATTCCTCTTTCAGGTTCCAAGTTCACTCTCGATGCCTCTGGAGTAGCAGGTTTTTTCGGTGGCGATGAGGCTGTTGCCGCGATGACGATCGTACACGTGTACCAGGGGAGAAAATGGTTGGGATGGTACAATTCACCAGGATCATACCTTATCGCCAAGAAATGTAGCCAACTCGCCAACTCGCGTTTCTGGGATGGTTCATTCCCGGGCGTCAACACAAACGCTGCTACGCTGGGCGGGTTGGATGGTTCAAAGGGCCCAAAGTTCAAGGGTGTAGAGTCTGGGTCGATTCTCCCCGAAACTGGTCCCCTCGCTTCTTTGATGGCAAAAGAATGCCAGATGGAGCGAGGCATTGATGTGCCAGGGAGGAAAACCCAACCAGTGGGGGTCACAATCGTTGACCTCCACTACACCCCTGAAGCGACCACGACACCAAAGCAACTCACGAAATATACCAGCGTTTTCGCTTTCATCCCTATGTCAGTATCCATCGGCACTTGCATTGCGTCCGCTCTCTTCGAAGACTGGTACTCCTTCAGTATGATCCTGCTCGGAATCGTCGCAAACGGATTATCATGTCTTGTCCTCGGATCCGGAAATTTCACTTTCTCTCATCCCATCCCAGCCCCGGGAGCGCCGCGAGGTGATGGATTACTCCTCGCGGATAACAATACCATCGTCCTAATTGGCCAAGAGGGCGCTGTCAATTCCATTACCCGTGGGAAATTCTCTCTAAACTTCGACAGTGAGACAGAATACAGAAACATCGGCATATGCTCGTCGATCCTTACGGCGCAGTGCATCGCACAGCTGCTACTCATACCACAGGCCACGCTCTTCGGACAGATCATGTTCTTAGCTTCGCTTGCAGTCTCCTTTGCATACACCTCATGGTTGTCATCGTTCGATAAATCGGAGATCCAGAGAAGGCTGCTAGTGGATGCAGTCCTCAAGCGGCCGTTGATGACGAAATATATGTTGGGCACGCGCACTACCATGGCGGTCTTCGTTCTACTGGCGTTGAATCCATCAGATCCAGCCAAGGTACTCGATGATCTCCTCCCGAACGACACCAAAGTGTGGAGGACTTGGAAAACAATCATTCTGTCAAGGCTACAGGACGGCGAAAAGATGCATTTTGAAACCGGCGATTGGGACGATGGAAGTTTCAACGGGAGTGAGAGTTCACTTCTGAAGACTCTCTTAGGGGACGCCCAGGCCGCCTATGATGGGTATTGCGACCACCAGAAGTTGCATTAGTTGCGCGATGAATTGGCTCCCGCCGTATTCGACTGCTTTGTTTGTGATACTAATTGTAAAAATTATTATGTTCTAGTCTTCAATTACTTACCCATATCTTGTATCCTCGCCTCCGTTCTGGGTCTCTTGCCTTTATTTTCAGTCCGATATTTCGAGTGTTTCGACTAGTGTTTTTTTGACCATGTATACGATATACCGTGATACCCCCCCCCCCCCCCCCCTCTTTGTATGAATCTCCTCGTGGAGATGATTTTTTGCCACTATCCTGGTATCTTATAAGTAACGTTATAAATCATCATATCTCTTGGCCAGCAGCTCTGTAGGTCGGAAATGTTAAACTGCCTGACTCAGTATTATATTCGGACGTCCTGTCATTGTGGCCGTCCATCCTTATGCAAATGAGGCGAGGCCACTGCGTGTGAGCCTTCATAATGATTCGATTAACCTTGGACTCCACCTCTACCACATTTTCGCGGCCTGTAATTATGGAATCACAACCAGCTCCATGATATTACTGTTACTACATTACAAACCTCAAACGTATTTCACAGCGAATGAACTTACCCTGCAGGGGGATTGCGAGGCTCGAACAGACGGTTCACGTTCGTGCAAGAAGAGAAGCAAGGGAGTCTGTGGAGATGAAAAGGGACGTTTTGTGGATATGTAGGTGGACATCTTAGTGGATTAGGGGTCAAAGATGATGTATTAATGGTTTACTGCGCCTAGCAACAAGATACCTGTCGAGCGTCCCGTCCCACACCCCGAGGTACCTCTCCTTCCTGCGAGCTTCTTCGAACTGCATGAATAAGATTAGCACTTC